ACTCATTATCTTGCCCATGTAACTGCAGCCCCTCTATACAGTATTTTCACAATAAAAAAATCAATACAATAAAAAATAGTCTTAGTTTTAAACACAGTAGTGTTTGATCCTCCTAGAGAATGAAAATGATGGCTATTCAGCACTATTTAAAACACATACAATGAATAGTCATGAATACTTAGTGATATACTCTAAAGATATTTACTTGTTATACTTTTAGTTTCAAAAATTTGAATAGCTTTAGAACCCAAGAATTAAAAGATGGCTGAGTAAATTATGTCACATCTATACATATATCTATACAAACATTATATTATAGAAACATTAAAATAGTACTGTGGAAGACTTAAAGATATACAGCATATCTGTGATATATTAAATAAGAAAAACAGGGTGTTAATACTATACCCATTTTTTTCTCCCAAAAGATATATGAACAACTAAAAGGCGGTAACAATATAATTTATTATTATCAATACAGAATTAAATTATTTTTAAGAAGGAAGATTCTAAGTTTTTAAAAAATTTTATAAAAATGTGCAAGTTATTTTGTAATGATAAAAGCATAATCTGTTATATTTCTAAAAGAAGGTCCTCAGGGGGGACACATCCAGCATGAGGTAGCTACTTGGATTCTGTCCCCTGAAGGAGGAGGAATGCATGTGAATAAGGTCAAGCCATACACCTTTCTGTGGGGAACTTTTCTTATGCTCCAATGTGGAGCAAAGGTTGGCCTCAGTGCGGATCAGTTCAGAAGTAACAGCTCAATACTGTCCCAGGGTATTCTCTGAGAACTGTATGGCTAGAGCCATAATAAGTCACAGAAAAACAAAAACAAACAATGGTTAAAAACAAACAAAAAACCTTGTCCTTAAATCTGGCTTCAAGCATTTAGGCTTCCAAGAAGAGGTCTCTTTTCTGCCTCTCAAGAAATAAACAGGGAAAAATATTCTGAAGGCAAGTATTTGCAGATATTTTCATAAAAGTGCATGAGAAAGTTAGACACTGGTGGCTCATGCCTATAATTCTAGCTACTCATGAGGCTGAGATCTGAGGATTGAGGTGTGAAGCCAGACCCACCAGCAAAGTCCTTGAGACTTTTATCTCCAATAAACTGACCCACCAGCAAAGTCCTTGAGACTTTTATCTCCAATAAACTAACAAAGCCAGAAGCGGAGCTGTGGTGCAAGTGGCAGATCAGCAGCCTTGAGCCAAAGAATCTCAGGGATAGTACCCAGCCCTGAGTTCAAGCCCCAGGACATAAAGAGAGGGGGGAAAAAAAAGAACAATCTATGGAGGTTTGCACAAAGGGGATGCATGATTTCTTATGCCACAAATGGAATGAAGTACCAAGTGAACACTTGGTATTTTCAGTGGGTCTCAGGCTAGTTTCATGAGGCAAGCATGGTGTTCAGAAACACTAGACGACTGGAAAATTTGGTTACTAATTGTACTACAGTTTAGTTGATCCAAATGGGATTTAAGATTGCTTATATAAAAAGAAATACTAGGTATACTATGCTAAATATACTATACTAAGGCTAGACATTAGAAGACTAGAATTCTTGGTCTAAAACACATATTTATTTCATAGTTGTAGGAAAGTTCTCTGGGTGGTCTTAGTACTTCCTTTCTGACCTGTAATTATCAAGAATAACTATAGAATGTAGGAGATGCCATATCATGAAGCAGAGAGGAAGTGCCTAAAGCACCCTAGATGGGAGTTCTACCTGAGTTCTGTCTGCCTCAGTCGGCTTTACTGAGCATTGGGGAACTAGCTTCTTTAGTCCTTGTTACCTTATTGTAAATCCAAAATCCTTTTCATATAACTTGCTGTGCTTGAGTGTATTGTGTCCTTATATTCAGACAAGGTGATCATCAGTGCACAATACGCTTGCTCCTCAGTAATCCTGACCAAATTATCTTTACAATTTACTTCCTCAGAAGGTAACAACACTGAAATAGCAAGGTAATCTTTGTAAATTTAAGTCTCTAATTTTTGCCATAGCAGAGCCATCAGAAGGAGTTGTGTCTTCCCAGCCTTGTGAAATGAGAGAACCTATAGCCAGATTAAAGAGATTCTAGAAATAATACAAGAGGTAACATTCTCACACCTATGAATGTGGAACAGATGTATACATTTGTTTCTCAGTCTTCGCATGAGGATTAAACAAAGCAATGAGTGCCATGTCAACTTCCTTCCTTTCTTTCTTCCTTTTTAAATTTTTTGGTCAGTCATGGGGCTTAAACTCAGGGCCTAGGCACTGTCCCTTAGCCCTTTTTGCTCTAGTGCTTTACCACTTTGAGCCACATTGCCACTTCTGGTTTTCTGTTAGTTAATTGGAGATTAGAGTCTCAAGTAGGACTGGGATTGTGGCTTAGTGGTAGAGTGCTTGCCTGGCATACATGAGACCCTGGGTTTGATTCCTTAGTACCACATAAACAAAAAATAAATAAAATTAATTAATAACGAAAGAAAACGTGTTTGTTTTTTTAAAGAAAGAGTCTCAACTACTTTCTTCTCCAAGCTGGCTTTGGAACTGTGATCCTCAGATCTCACACTCTTGAGTAGTTTGGGATTACAGGTGTGAGCCACTGGCACCTAGCTTTCAATTTTCATTCAGTAATTTCATTTTCAGTTATTCACTATTGCCATTCAAAGTTCCATTCATTTCACATACCATGACACAAAGATCTAGGAACCCTGGGCTCTTGCTTCTACACAGAGAGTACCCACATCTGTTCAGCCACTGAGGCCATGTCTTTCTCACCAGCAGACTGTGAAAGTATACCCTGGCCTACCTCACAGGGTTACTGTAAGATGTTATAAATGAAAGGGCTCTGGGGGAGGTAAATAAGGGTGACCTATATGTAAGCCATGATTTTACTATAAAATTGACAGCACTGGTTCCTCAAAAGACTCCATAGAGAACTCCCTATGACCCAGCAATCCCACTTTTGGGCATTTACCCAAACAATCACAAATAAGACTATACTAAAGCTACCAGAACAACTATGTTTATCACAGCATTATTTACCATACTAAGATATGAAAACAACCAGATGCCCTTTAGTAGATGAATAGATCAAGGAAATGTAATATATATAATGGAATTCTATGCCTCCATCAGACAGAATGACAACACAGCATTTGTTAGGAAATGGAGAGACTTGGAAAAAAATTACATGAAGTGAAGTAAACCAGGCCCAAAGAAACATAGGTCCCGTGGTTTCCCTTATTTGCAATAACTAGTATACATCTAGGACAAGAAGAAAAGGTCAAAAGCTATGCACATATGATCATATAAGATGATGCTGAGTGAAATAAATCCCAAGATAGGGACACAAGTGCTTTTATCTTTCTTGCTATTGATTTTAATGGATTTATAATGTACTATGTGATGTTTTTGTTTCTTTTGTATGTTCTTCCCCCATGGCATAACCTCTATTTTCCCTGTATTTGATGTTGGTGCCCTGCATCTTGTATATACATTTTTCTATTTGGGAAGGGGAAGGGAAATAAGAAAATGCTGAAACAAGGATACAGGTTGGCCCACTGTAACAATGAGATGTACAAGACACTATGTAGAAAATAAACTTTATAACTTGGGTGGGGGGAGTTGGGGAAGTGGGGAGAGAAGGGATGGTAGGGGGAAAACAAAGGAGGAGGCAACAATGCTCAATAGGAAATGTACTCATTACCTTACTCATGTAACTGTAACCCTCTGTACAGTATTTTTATAATAAAAATATATAAAAATTGAAAGAATCACTTTATAATAAAATTCTGTGAGCTTTGAGTATGCATATGCAAAATCTGACTGCAAAGGTGGCTTTATTAAAGGAATAAACATTAGAAACAAAAATAAATAGGTAACCCAAAATAGCCACTAACAGTAGAATTAAAAAATAAACACTAGGTACTTAAAGCAAGAAAAATGAATGCACTTTAGTACTCATTACATATAAACTTAAATTTTAAAAAAGAACCAAAGCACCAAAGAGTACATAGTATGATATTTTCATATAACATTCAAAACAGGTAAAATATGAATGGATATAGTAATGCCTGTAATACCAGTTCTTCTAGAGGTAGAGATCAGGAGGATCTCTGACAGACAAACAAAAAGTTAGTGAGGTGATATCTCAACCAATAAGCTGCGCATGATAGTATGCATCTCTAATCCCAGCTGCATTGAACTTCCTAAAATAGGAGGACTGTGGTCCAGGCTGGCTAGAAATAAACTGTAAGACCTTATCCCCAAAATACAGTATTGGGGAAAAAAGGGCTATGGGCATAGTTCGCATTTGCTTAGCAAGCATGAGGCCCTGAGTTGAAACCCTAATACCTCCAAAAACAGAAAGAAAAACAAGCAAAAAGGAACAGGCAAAATTAACTTTCCCAAGGAAAGATGAAAGACATAGTAAAATTATACTGCAAAAATATTAATACATGACAGGGATGATGATATGTTGAGAATATGATCAGGAAAGTGGTCATGAGGGACTTTTAGAGTTTCTGATTGAATTAAACTTGTTGTGTCTACATATATATGTACATGTACTCATACACAGATATGTAATGTCTATGTGTATATTTTCTATATGGTATTTCATAGCAAAAAGAAGATTCACAATAACATAAAACGCAACTGAATTCTATAGAAATTAAGTTAGGTCAAGAGTGATGCTTTTTTTTATACTTCTGCTAGAGATTATGTCAATTCAATCTCAGAGTCACCAAACTAAGAAATTACTCATTTGAGACTTGATTTAAAATAAAACCCCTTCAAAAACAAAGTGTAATCATTAAGCAGGTCAGAAGGATTCAAGTGACTATTTATCTACTCATTGATAACTACTAGCTGCTTATATATTTCAAGGTCAAATTTTAAGTGTTAGTATTAAAAGACAATAGGACCATAAGTCAACATTGAGCATATCATATAACACAGGACTAGAAGAAGATTACACCAATGACTCAGGGCACTGTGACTTACCAACTGGTTGGGTTTGTGCTATTCTTTTAGGATAGGTCTTGCTTCGACTTCTCGTCACATTCAGATCAGGCCGGGGAAGTTGGACAGAAAGATCTCGGCTCATTTGCAAAGCTGTCCTGCCACTTGAAAATTAAACATTTTGGTTAGCAAATGAAAAACCCACAAAGCCACAAAATTTAAGAATGGTTAAGTTACCAGTGGCTTGCACTCATAATACTAGCTACTCAGGAGGCTGAGATCTGAGGATCATAGTTGGAAGCTAGTCCAGGCAAGGAAATCCATGAAACACTTATCTCCAATTAAACACACACACACACACACACACACACACACACACACACACACACACGTGTGCGTGAGCGTACACGCACACGCAATCTGGAAGTGAAGCTGTGACTCAAGTGGTAGAGGCCAGCCTTGGGCAAAAAAAGCTCAAGGGCAGTAGCTAGGCCATGAGTTCAAGCCTCAGGACTCACACACTGAAACAGACAGACAGACAGACAGACAGACAGACAGATATAGGCAGACTGACTAACTCAAATATATGAATTTATAACTTCATGAGCTATGAGGAAGTGGGGCCTAGTTAGAGGACAGAGGTCATTGAGAGCATGCCTTTGAAAGACACATCTGGTCCATGGCCTCTTTCTCTTTCAGCTTGCTTGTTTCTAGGAGGCTAGCAGTCTTCCCACTACTCACTACTACCATTATGTTGTACCTTACCTCAGGCCCAAAGCAATGGAGCCAACTTAAAACCTTTGAAAACATGAGCTAAAATAAATCTTTCTTCAAGTTCATTTCTCTCAGGTATTTTGTCACAGTAAAAAAAAAAAAAAAAAAAAAAAAAAAAGTCTGACTAAAATAGCTGGGCTAGCCTCGAGTAATATTCCCAAAGAATTATGTGATTTCATTTGCTGAATGTCAGTAAATATTCATTTTACTAAAAGTCAATTCCACAACTGCTGGATTTAAGCTAGCAAATGATAAGGGAAATACCTCTCAGGCACAGGGGGAAAATGCTTTTTTTTTATGGTCATGAGGCCTGAACTCTGGACCTGGGCACTGTCCCTCAGCTCTTCAGCTCAAGGCTAGCACTCTACCACTTGAGCCACAGCATCACTTCCAGATTTTCTGCTTATCTGATGCTGAAGAATTGAACCCAGGGCCTCATGCATGCAAGGCAGGCCTTCTACCACTGAACCACCTTCCAAGCCTCAGAAAATGCATTTAATATATCTAATTTGATTCACTATAACCACAGGTCTTCTTATGGCTCCAAGTTCTATTGATCCTACATAAATAGGACATTGGTAACTTCTTCTCCCCCAATAAGACTAAATAAAATGTATAGTATTCATCTCTCACAAGCTTCTGTAAATGTTTTCCTGCCTCACTACTTGCTCTTATTAGAAAGAAAGATGCCTGTAACACTTATAAAAAAAAAAGTCTCTTCATTGGAGGAGCACCATTTGGTATATGGGTACCTGGGATCACCAGTTGGTATGAGATACCATGAGAAGAGGCCAAGTTCCACCCTAAGAGTTCAGGTTCTCGGGCTAGGAAGGTGGCTCAGTGGTAGAGCGCTTGCCTTGCATGCATGAGGCCCTGGGTTCGATTCCTCAGCACCACATAAGCAGAAAAAGCCAGAAGTAGCGCTGTGGCTCAAGTGGTAGAGCGCTAGCCTTGAGCTGAAGAGCTGAGAGACAGCACCCAGGCCCAGAGTTCAGGCCCCACAACTGACCATAAAAAAGAAAAAAGAAATGTACTCATTATCTGACTGTATGTACTCATTATCTGTACAATACCTTAATAATAACAATAAAATTATATTTAAAAAAAAGAGTTCAGGTTCACAAGAACTGGAGGTGAAAGGAACTAGTTCTTTCACTTGAAACAGCTTTTTTTTCCCTCAAAGGTATATAAGGTAACATAAATTTCTGTAAAACTAAAATAAATCCAAAGAATAAATAACATTCCATTTTTACAATGGTTTGAAATATGAAGATAAAGTATACTCACACCAGACTTGCTCTGTTATCAGAAAGACTTGGGCACTGAGTGCCTTATGAACAGAAGAAAAACATATTTGCCATGTAAATATCAACATGCAGACCACTGAGATATTTTTATGTGACTGTACTTTATTTTTCTAATTTTCCTCATGGTTTTTCTCTTTCAGGAACAGACAAGAAATGAGAAAAATCACACCACAAAATTACTAATACCTAAATTCAGAAACACAAACTAAAATCACACCACAAAATTACTAATACCTAAATTCAGAAACACAAACTAATCTGCCATAGGCTTTATAGGACCTAGGACTAGAACAAACTTTCTGAAATTCCCCTTCCTCCATGTATGTCACATGCCCTACTGTGATACTAGCCTTGTCGTATTGTTTCCCTGTAGCAGGAAGTAATGGGCAAGTGTCTTTGTAGAGACTAGCAGTACAAGGTGGTGGCTAGCATGTCTGGTGGCTCTCACCTAGGACAGGATAGAGTTCTATTTCCATGATTGTCACATTCCTCATATGCTAACACACATACCCTTTCCATGTTCAGTAACAACACTAACAGCCCCCAGCCACAAAGTGAGGGAGTAGGAAAGATGGAGAGAAGTGCTTAGGTTCAAATCTCAGATTTAATTCAATTATTTTATTTGTGAAGTAGAGGCTCCCATTTCCCATTTATAATTGGGAATATGATGCATCCTCTGAGAGATCACTGAGTAGACCATGTGACAGCGCCTGCAACAAAGGGGATCTCCTGAAGACCTAGGCCCTTCCATGTTTCATAAAATGTGAGTTTCCAGGTTACTGAAGTCCTGCAGGGTGTAGATCTGAGCTCTAGGTTGGGAGAAATCAGACCTTGTTCTTACTTCTAGAGTGTAAAGTCCATACAACTCATTCACTCATCAAAACCTTACCTTGCCAGGTACAGGCAAGGATGATTTTTTTTAAGAGGCTCCCAGGAGGAGATATCAGTTCATAACAAAATATTTCATCCATCAGAATGAATCACCTCCCTATTCAGATTACTGATCTCTGACAGGAACAACAAGAGTATTAGAATGTCGGATTTCAGCTCAGACTTTCTCCCAAAAACTTTTGAAATTTGTTTGTCCTTTATCATTAAAAATGTCTGTTTTTTCTCTTCTTAAGTATATTTGCTAGTTTCCTCAAAGATATAAGGATTTTTTCCACATTTTTTTTTGGTTGGTGGTGGGGCCTGAACTCTAGGCCTAAGCACTGTCCTTGGGCTCTTCAGCTCAAGAGTAGTGCCCTACTACTTGAGCGACAACACCACTTCCGGTTTTTTCTGCTTATGTGGTGCTGAGGAATCAAACCCAGGCCCTCATGCATGCAAGGCAAGCACTCTACTACTGAGCCACCTTTCAAGCCCTCTCTTCCACATTGATGTAAAGAAAGACTAGAAATCTTGTTCAAGTTGCAAAATGCACCCACTGGTATATCCACAAAACCACCATATACCACTAGCAACATATGAACACTGTATACACACACACACACACACACCACTCCACACTCACATACTACAGTCTCCTGAGAGGCTGTCTTTTCCCTCAACTCTGACAGCCTCCAGGATAAAAGGGGCTGGGCTGCCTGTGGTCCAGGGCTCTGCCTTCATTCCAGGATAGTTCCAGATTGCCTCAACAAAGGGAGAGGAACACAATGCTAATTAAGGGCTATTGTCTGTCATCTTTTTTTTTTCAGTACTAAGGACCCAACTCAGAGTCTTGCTCAGATTAGACAATCACTCTTCCACTAGGCTAAATCCCAAACCATCTGTCTGTCTTCTTTTACCAACAGTCAGAGACCTGTTCTCTTAAACTCTGTAAAGGGAAACAAATCATATCTCTTCCAAAATTAGTATAAGGTTAGTGAGTCTTACATACAGACATGTAGATTTGGGTTTCATTAAGATTGACTAGGCAGTCAACATTAGCCATAAAATTAGAAAAGATTTAGCAGAGACTCCAATTCTGCAAAGGTTACCTTTAATTACTTGCTTGGAAGAAATGATATTTAATATGCAAAATTCAATAACTTCTTAATAGTAATTCCCAATAGCCACAACATTTGCATTTCAATAAATTTGGGGAATCATGTATGGTTATGTTTGTGGAAGTCAGCTACAGCTTATGTTCTCATTTTAATCATAACATCACTAAGACAGATGCCTTCTTACCAGCTACATTCTAGTGACCAGGAGAAAGGTTTGCCTATTTTCTAACCCTGGCAAAGGTTTATATGCAAATAAAGAACAGCTTCCATCCTGGCTGTTAGCTATCCTAAATGTAAAAGTAAATAATCTTACCTCAGCCCTCCTAATCTTGCCTGAGGGTTAACTACTTAAGAATTAACCAATACATTATAGAAGAATTGCCAGGCTCTAGCTCACACCTATCATTCTAGCTATTCAGGAGGCTGAGATCTGAGAATCATGGTTCAATGACAGCTCAAGCAGAAAAATACATGAGACTCTTATCTTGAATCAACCACCAAAAAGCTTGAGGTAGAGATGTGGCTAAAGTAGAGCACCAGCCTTGAACAAAAAAAACTAAAGGACTGGGAGTAGGTCTTGAATTCAATCACAAAACTTTTTGGTTTTAATTTCTCCAACATTTACTTTTTAAAATTATTTTTGGAATTGTGAATGATCTATTTCTATCTTTTGGGTTTAATATATAAACAACATAAACAATACCTACAAATAGTAAATATAATCATGATTTCTAATCTCCATTCTCATTAAGACTTACCTTTTCAAACTTTTTTTGTTGCTATTTGGTTTTTTTATGCTAGGGAAATGCACTGAACATATAATATTAATCACTTTAATATTAACATTTAATATTAATAACTCTTACTCTAGTCTTAAATTTAAGAGAGTTATTAAAGTGAAAGAACTGTCATAGTTCTGTCCATGTGACTAATTTATTTTTAAGTCTTCTGTGACATCTCTAATGGAATAAGAAGAAGGTCTTGTCTCCAGGGTGCCATTTCTACTTGATGCTTAGTAGTGTAGGCCTGGTAACCTACCTCACAGCATAATACAATGTCTCTTTGAAGGGAGAAATGGTTAGATCACATTCTTTGTATCCCTGGGATCCTAACAGCATGTCTTGCCCATCACGGGCTCACTGATGAACAGAATGAATTGAAACAAAACAAATGTTTCTTCAAAATAGAGAACACAGTCCCCCTTTTACTGCTAGCATTAGAAAAAGACACGAGCTGCAGTACTATCATGCTTCTGCATCATCAGGCTGTCTGATGTAAAAGCAAAGGCTGTGGCCTGAGACTGCCAGACATGAGGAAAGCCTCTTCTCTGCTTTGATGATTAAATGAAGCAATAAAAGGAAAACATTCAGACAATAATGATCCTTAATTATAACTCAATAATGATAATCATGATAAGCAGTTTTTACGCATATAGTAACATTGTACTTCAGAAACATGGTTTGATATTACACATATAGATCCCTCTATATGTATATCAAGTATTGATATGTTTTATAATGTAAAAGGTACATTGTAGTCAATAGGTGATAAACTGAATGTGTTAAGAACACATGTCCACCATTCAGAATATCTACTTGCTTATAGATCATAATTAGAAATAATTTATAACCACATAAAAATGAAAACCTAAATAATAAACTATATTCTAAAAGTCCTGAACTTAGTACAGTGAATGCAGACATTTACTATAGTCCAATCAGAAAGTCATGTTTGTCAAGGAAGAAAACTTTAATAAACTGCTACAGTTACAAAGCATGGAAGAAAGAAAACAATTAAATCACACACGTCATGATGCATGTCTGAGGGCAACTGAATTAAATACTTATTTACATGCACAAACTCCAAAGGGAGGAAAAATGTCATTTACCTGTAGCGGTGCTTATAGCTTATGGATCCAAATTTGCTAAGTTTTCTTGACAATGAATTTGATTCTGTTTCCGGCATTCTAATTTTTTTAGGAAAAAAAAACTTCATAAACACAGATACTTTACAACATCTAAGCATAAAGCTATTTAGAAAATATAGCAAAACTAGTCAAAATATTTTAACAAAACTAATCAGAATACTGTATTTATTCTAAATATTGGCAAGAAATGATAAGCAATTACTAAGAGAATACCTGAAACAGAGCCATAGCTTAGAATGTTATGTTATATGTATAATAATATCAAATACTCAACTCATACCTCTACAAAGCATTATATAAATATGTCTTTGCCCTAGGAAGTTTTAGCTGTGACTCAACTAACTTCCTCTGCTTAAATTGATTTTCTCACATTATGGTCTCCATGGCAGCTAATCACATTAGACACAGTACTTCATTCATTTTTATAGTATACTCCAGTATTTTCCTGTTTTAAGGCATTTTTAAAAAATATTGTTTGGCAGTATTGGGTTTGGAACTCAAGACATTGAACTTGCCTCTCTACCACTCTGACAACATCTCCAGCCCCTATTCATGTAGTCTATTTTCCAATAGGGTCTCTAGCCTCAGATGGTAATACTCCTCCTATCTCTGCCCTCCTGTCTAGCTGGAATCACAGGCATGCACCACCATGCCCAGCCCTCATGTCAGGGTACTATCAATAGATAGACTCACTGAACTAAAGGCAAAGGCTTAGATTTGCTTTCTGGGTCACATCCTTCCCCTAACACAAATCATATGAAGGACACTGGTCATTTTATAGAATATTTCTCTCCTATACCAGAGAAATTGCTCAACCTAAAATAAATAGAAATAAGAGAAAGAATCTAACCTTGGTCCTTTAAAAAAAATAAAGACTGTTTTACCTGTTAAATTCTTATTTTATCTTTACAATGTAAGGACATGAAACAATGAAGATGGTGTGTTGATAAGCCCATTTTCTGACTTCATCTTACATAAGGCACGGCCGCTCCCCCCCCCCCCCACCCCCGTCCTCTGCCTGTGCACACTGCATATAATTCCTGGCATTCTGCTCCTCCTTTCCAACGATATAACACATCATCCCGGTTGCTGTTTCTCCTGTCTTGTCAGCAGCTCCTTTCCTCCAAATCCAGGGAAGGTCCAGAGCTCAGCTTTTAGCTTTCTAATTCTCCTTTCTTATCACCATTTCCATGGTAATCTCATTCGACCCCTCTGTCTAAATGCCTTCATCATTCTAGTAAGCCCTGTGCTGTGCCACAATAAATTAAGAGTCAAAATAGATTAATAAAAAGGAACATCTCTACAGTTGTTTGTAGACAGAACAAAATATTTGCTATAAAAAGAAACACTATTTTTATTTATTAGTACAGTGTACAAAACTGTCCAGTAAAATATACAAAACATACCTAAAAAATGTATGATGTTCTACACTGCACTTCCAGAGGTGCTTGCAAGCGGTTTTACTTCGAGCTTCAAAAAAGAATGAGGTTTCGTTGCACTGAGAGGCAGAGAAAAAGAAAGAACGAGTTATTGACCATAATACTTTTCAGATGTCTGCCCTCCTGTAGGTAAAAGAAGTCAGCAGAGAGATTATTATCACATAAACAAATAATTATCTCTTGGTAATGATTTTTGGAAAACCACATTAAAATCACTTTCCATTCAGTCTTAGCCCAACATTTTACCCTCTACTTTTGCATCACCCAATGGCTGAATAACCCTGGTGATAGCACTGGACTCCTGAAATTCCTGCCATCAGAAATGGCCCCTGATGAACAAAAATCACAGACTGTAGAATTCAGCCCTCAATAAAAAGATATTCCTATAAATCCAGTCCTTAACTCTGCTACATTCAGGGAAGTACAGGTCATACTAAAGCTGATGTCTAACGAGCCTCAGGAGAAATCACTGGAAAGAGGCATGCCACTGCAGTATAACCTGTGCAAATTGAAAAAACTCAGAACCTAGCTTCTCCATTTTACCTCAAATTACCAGGCAGATTAAATTAAATGATAAGATAGCATCGAGTGTCACATAATGAGGATATAATAAATCTTAGTTATTTTAATCTAGCTGTTTATTTAATGAGTTTAATTTAATATATTGAATATGTAAGAAATTGCAGACATATTAAAGTTAATCCTAATTTGGCAGAAGATATTACTTTTAAGTTACTAAACAGAAAACCAAACAAAATACAGAATGAATGCCATAACAATAAACCCTATGTTCTGGGAAGTGCTATAACTGCTCATTTCATTTCAAATTTAAAAACCAAACTCAAGTCTCCAACATGGCAATTCTTCTGGAATGAGCTTCCTCTAGACTCATAAACACTAAACTGTCAGGGCAGGGGATCATTGAAATGATTTGTCCCCCACTTTTTAACAAGGAAAGAACATTTATATGCATGAAATTCCTCCTAAGTGCAATTGGAATGGTACTGTCTAACCGAAGAGCTACTTGTAAAATGAAGAGACAGGGTGGAAACAAAGCCAACACACTCAGATTACAGTAAAGCTGTCTGGAATTCCAAAATTATAGGAGGATGAAATTTAGGATTATTCTCAGGTGTTTTTTTTTTCTTGGTTTTTTTGTTTGTTTTTGGCTCGAATGCTTCTAACTATTAAAATACAGCAAATGGGAAAGCAGCAGGGGGATTTGGCTGGTGAGGGAATGGACACTAAGCAAAGGCTGAGTGGGTTGGGGTACCTAGGGAATGCAAATTGGGCTGCTTAGTTCTACTGACACTGGATATCGCACTGGGCATAAACAAGAGGGCTCAGGAAGGGAGAGCAGAATGTTAATGGAAAAGTGGCAGCAAAGTGCTGTGGGGGTGCAGAGAAGGGGGCAAAACAAGACAAAGGTCAAACGGTCAAATGGCTTGAAAGATCACTGCATTTCATGGTGACTTTTGTGAAATGAGTAGAAATTTTAAAATTAGAGATGAGGAAGCGAAGTCAATGAATTCACAGGAAGATATCACATGTTTCTTGCAGGACAAGGTAGAAAAACCCAGGATTCTGTCCAGAGATGAAAATATTCAAAGAATAATCTGTTTTCCTTTAAAATAGATACGATATATGCATAGTAGTAAAGCAAAACTTTCCAAAGTTGGTGCATAATGACTGACACAAGTCAATCTCCCTTCTACCACTGTCCCAAGTCCCTTCCCGAATCTATTCTACCACAATTTCTATTACAGGGCATTAGATAATCCTAAACATAATACATAGGCCACTCACCTAAAACTAAGTCTGCTTGTGAAGGCATTCTACCAGAAAAAAATTGTCAAGACAAAGAAAGAACACAGACAAGCTGTCCCTCCCTCCCCAACCACCACATTCCTCACACACAGAGATTTGGCCACCATCCCCTCTCTCTCTGCAACAGGATGTACCAGGTGTCACAGGACACACTGAGCATTACCACTGTAAGAAATGATGGCCACAGATAACTTGTCTGGAACACATAAACTTTCATATTTCAGCAAAATCACTCATAGATAAGGTATAATTAAATACCAAATACAAATTGTCAAAAGAGGAGGAGAAACTTAAAAGCTTTCAATTTTCAATACAAAATGAGATCTATCTCCTCCAAATCTCAAGCTCCCATTGGGCTGGTTTTCACTTTCCCTTTCACACCAATGTCTGTATTCTTTTATTTTTCAAGTAGAAACTGGTCACAGTTTAATTCTTAATACACATTCTTAAGCTACCATCACTTAATGGAAGGATAAAAGGCACTTTTTAATTCCAACCAGAATTAGGCTTTTCTGTTTCTTTAGGTACAAAATAAAGGAAGTAAAGAGCCTCCCACAGGTCTCTTAATTCTTTCTGCCACGAGCAAATGCAAGTATGAACTCATTCTCTATTTACAGGGCTTGAAGACAAACTGCCCACTTTTCCTCTCATTATTGGTGGAGAGATCCAAATGCCAAAAGGAGAATTAACATAAGCAATATAGAAGCCAGGTATTCTGAATAAATTCTGTATACTTTTGCCACACACACACAGTAACTGTTGGCATGAATGAACTGGCAGGACATTTTACATGTCTCTTTCCACCCCACCCCTCCCTTGTTAAGCCTTTTCCAAATAGACATGGCCCTTAGCATATTTCCACTCACTCAGCCAGAGATGAGCAGCTGCTTAGCTAAAGAAGCTCATCACACAAAAAAAGAGAAGCTCATCACAAGCCATTGCTAAAGTACCTTGCTGTCCAAATGGCCAAGGCTTGCTTTTTTTGCAAAATTATTCAAATATCTTTATAGCTATGGTCATTTCAAGCCAGAAGCAAAGCTATTTTCTGAATGTACTTTTTAATTTTATCAATGAATCATGCTAAGGCTTTTATAATTCAGATATCTTGTGAATATCACTGTCTCCTGAGTCTTTATATACACTTGATCAAGCCTTCTTTTTTTTTTTTTTTTTTTTGTCAGTTGTGGGGCCTGAACTCTGGACCTGGGCGCTGTCCCTCAACTCTTCAGCTCAAGCCTAGTGCTCTAACATTTGAGCCATAGCACCACTTCCAGCTTTTTCTGCTTATGTGGTGCTGAGGAATTGAACCCAGGGCCTCATGCACAAAAGGCAAGCACTCTACCACTGAGCCACCTTCCCAGCCCAAGCCCTCATTTCTATCATTTCTAAGAATCTAGAGGTTATAGAATATCCACCAACTCCCAACTGAACTCCCTCTGGTCAGTCTCTTTACCTGTCTTTGCTGGCTATGATTCTCTTGGCAAGATTAAAGAAATGAATCTACATTTCCCAGCATCTCTCACAAGTACCCCCCCCCCCCCCACACACACACACAATGAAGAGTATGTAACCAACTGCAAGAGGCATGGTCACTCTTTATCCCACTACAGCCCCTCACACAAGCTTATGTTTTTGATACAGACCCTCCCTACCACATGTAATCCATGTACTTTATCTGGTCTCTCCCTACGTCTATTTTGGGAAGCAATCACAGCTGGATGCCCTGCCTTTCTCAGCCTCCCCAATATTTTTTTTAAGGGAAAATGAATTTTTTTTTTATTGTGAAAATACTGTACAGAGGAGTTACAATTACATGGGCAAGATAATGAGTACATTTCTTATCAAACATCGTAGCCTCCTCCTTTGTTTCCCCTTCCCCTCCCTACAGCCTCCCCAATATTAAGGAGATGAATTATTGTGTATTTCACCCACATTCAAAGTCAGGAGAATAGTCAAGGTCCATGTATACCCAAAGTATACACTATGTGGGTTATTATTCAGGAACCAAGGAGATCAGTACTTCTAACAATGATAAGATGCAATCATCATATGAATACTTGAAGATCGACAGCAGACAGGATTCATGTTCCATTGAGGTGGGGGAGGAGGGGGCAGCTAAAGAAACAAGTCCCAAGTATTATGGAACTTTTGCTTTTTTTTTTTTTTTTTTACATTCAATCTATACAAGACTTACACATTTACTATTATGAACTCTTTAACTTACTTTAGGCATGGGTGGGAAAAAATAGATGCCTAATAAATGACTACAACAATGTTCTTCTTAATTACTGACAAAGCAAGCAGTGAAACAAGGTGGGGTGGGTGTATTCTTTAACTGGAGATACCAAAAGAGGTATTTCTGTATTTTTATCTTGTTGCCTATAGGCAACAAGTTCAAATTCAGCTAACCAATTCAGTGCTTCCTCAAAACAAAGCTACTAGCTTTGTTATTACCTGGGAAGAGTAGGTCAGAAAGCAATTTTGGAACACTGAAGATATATTATTCTTACAAGCTTTGTAGTTGCATAATGCTCTCAGAGAATAGTTCTTATGAGTATCTTCTAATAGTGGCCTAAGAGGTTCTGTGGTCCATAAACATGGGAAATGATGGCTATACCTTTTCACGTTTTAATGTGGCATTGTGCTCCATGACTCTCCATTAGCTGGAGAGGTAGTGGGTTGTTTTACTAATTAATTTGGACTCAAAACTGTTTTCCACAGAAGTGTATTTTAAATACTCTAGTTTAGAAAAGATGGTGGTACGTATAAATACTGTTCTATACATGTACGTACACGTATCAGTTATTAAGTTCTTTTGAAAATACAAATACATTTTAACTGAGAATCACTGAACACTTCAGCATCACTTAAGAAAATAAAATTAGTTTCCAGTCTGTAAGTGCATTTCATAGTAGAAATAAAAACAGGAACTGGGTACCAGTGGCTCATACCTGTAATCTTACCTACTGAGACCAGAGGCTGAGATCTAAGGATCACAATTTGAAGCCAGCCTGGGCAGGAAAGTCTGTGAGACTCTTATCCCTAATGAATAACACCCCCCCCCCCCGCCCCTCCCCGCCCCCGTTAAAAAAAAAAAGCCAGAAGTATTGCTATGGCTCAAGTGGCAGAATACTAACTTGAGCAAAACAAGTTCAGGGGCAACGCCAAGGCCCTAAATTCAAGCTCCAAGACCAGCACAAAAGAATAAGTACAAACAAGAGAAATATTATAG